AATAAAATATTATCAGTAAAAACTTCAAATCATGTCCTTTCTAAGAATCTTTAGAACTAGAAGAACTGTAACTTTGCAGAGTTTCTCCAAAGATTTTTTTTAACCATGGTGGTGACCTCTCAAACGGGGGTTTGACAAAATCTGGTTGTCCTCAAAACATTTTGGTTGTCCAAAAAATATCTCAATAAAAACATAATTTTATAAGTAGGTTATATTGTTCTGTATACAAAGTGTAATATATACAAATGTTCTCAGTCAGCAGGTTACTGACTACTACTTCCTCGTTCTCCTCCTCATCCTCTTCTTTGAAATAGAGATAAAAAACCAACATCTAGCATCCATAAGCTTTCTGCTTACAGGTCAAACTTTTTTTTTACTTATTAAAGTTACAGTTTAGTGTTCTTTGGACTGAGACTTTCTGAGGAAAGAAGTTTTTAAACATCTTTTCTATAATTTTAGTGTTTTCAACTGAGGAGCTTTGATAAATTTATTTAAAATAAATTATAGCAGAGGAAGTTCTCTGCACAGAAAAAAAAATATTTTTACTGTTTTTTTAACCAAACTGACAAGTTTCTCCAGTAAAATTATTGTGTAATTTAAAGMCADTGAAACACCTGGTTAAATTTAGAAGATATTATGATTAACTACAAACATCAGAAGCTGACTCAGAGAACTCTGTGATTTTAGAAAAAATAAAAGTCAAATGTAGACACATCTTTAAAAGACCCTCCTCCCCACCCCGCGCAGCTGCAGTCAGCGCACCTCCAACCCACCCGCGTGATTAATACTGATTTTTTTGCGCAAATTACAAATTTTTGAAGCTCATTATACACGTTAAACGTCTGAAGGGGTTGACACGTATCGGGCTGGTCAGAGCCGAGCTGCAGGGGGACGGGTTCGCTGCCCCTCGCTTTAAAAACAGTCAGCTGACCCGTCGCGGTTTTGTTGCGCTCGTGACGTGAACACACAGGGGAAATGCTGCGAAGTGCTTTTAGAAATATAATCAATATAAAATACAACGTAATCCTCAGTGGTAAATAGTCCAGGAAACCTGTGCGCTCCCGGGAGGTGTTCACCTGCAGCTGAGTGAAGCTGACCCCCCACCCACAGAGAAAGGGGAAAAAAGGCAGTAATTATTGATAAGGTAGTAACCATGCTGTGACTTCACCTGTCACATTTTCTTTTAAAGAAAGAAAAAGTACCTTGCAAAGCTGTCTCATCAGTGCTACGTGATTAAAAGCAGAGCTGCACGTCTAATCACACACACGTCTTTCTATCTTTGTGAGGACCACAAACAGCGCTCAGCCTCGCTCTGCACCTTCTTTTTCCCCAAGTTTGGTGAGAGGTGGATATGGAGGGACACAAAAAGTAGCTCTCGACTTGATCTGGCCTTATTTAAATAAAAATGACTACATGTCTTGAAATTCTTAGAGAGGCGGGCCATCTCGTTGGGGTCGGGGTGGGGGGGGGTGGCTGCCTGTATAATGGTAGGGGAAACACTGATTAAATATGATATATTTTGCTGAATTTGAAGTGGCAGACTACTATTTCTTTAAATCAACTTGCCTTGTCTTGAGCATGATATGAAGTGTATACTGCTTTACATGTAGATAACTAGAAGTATGTAAATGTTTATTACTGATATGCTGTTATGTAATGATTCTGACAGAATCTTGTAGCCAACAATAAACTAGTTATAACTGGTATTAATATAAGACCCCACTTAATTAAGTTTATTAATTATAATGATCAGATTGTCATTACTGTAGTTTTCTTTTATCAAGTCCTTCCAAGTTTTTCATTCTTAGACTTACAATATATTTCCAGGAGGTTTGGAACAAGTGATTTAAGATATAAATGTTTTTAAACGCTATAGTTGAATCATTATTGTCTGCTCACAACTAGGGCTTCAACTAACGATTATTTTAATAATTGATTAATCTGTTGATTATTTTTTCGATTAATCAGTTAATCGGCCAAATCATTAAAACA